CGCAGAACGTCAACAGCGCACCAATCCTTCGTCTAGGCGTGGGCGCAGCCGGAGCGGAGACCGTCGTGGGAGAAACACGCCTTCGTCTAGGCGTAGCCGCAGCCGGAGCCAGAGCCAGAGCGGGGGCAAAAGCAGGGCGACCAGCACTGACAGCAGTCGCGGTGGGAAAGGGCGACGGAGGTCAGGCCACGGTAACAGGCAAGTGATGTATGATCGAGGTGATTTTCGTAGCTCTGGGTTGTTGGGGGAAAACAAGGATGCTTCAGAAGACGGTTCTCTCTGTTCTTCACCGCTTGTTCTACGCCCTCCCGCTGATGTAGGCCAACCGATCAGGTCTTCTTTGGCTTTCAAATTTGCCAACATGCAACCTCGTGAACGTTCAGCCGCCGTGAAAAGCCATGCCCCTGCCCATGCCGTTATGGATCATCCCACATCTTCCTTGCCTTTGGACGAACCTGTTGAGTCACCACGCCATGCTGCATCACACGCTTCGACTTCGGCTTCCCGTACTGAAATTCTGTTGGAACAAGTACTCACTTTCCTGCGAACAAATCAAGTACTGGATGCTGCTGCCGACGCGAATGTACAACCTCCTGTGCCCCCCCGCGCTCCAAGCGTGCCACCACCTGCCCCATCTTCTTCCCCACCAACGCGTCCGACACCGATGCAAGACCACGCTTCGAGCTTTTCGGGAGCTCCTGTGGGACGCGATGTTCGTGCCGAAACCGCTGCCAGGACCACGCCAGGATCATCGTCATCAGCCACGAGGTCGGCGACAGTACCGGTCGAGCCTGCGGTGGCACCGTCAGCGTCGACAGCCCCAGCCCTGTTGCAACAGCCTTTGGTGGTATCGCCCCCCCCCCTCCAGCGTGCATCTGTTCTGATTGATCCTGACTCTGCAACCGGCCACGTCGTCGAGCCACCGAGTCAAGCGGCCTCACCGGTGCCACAGAACGATGCTGGTTTGCCTTTGTCTTCCACGGGAGCGAGAGAGAGGCAGGAGGCTCTGCACGCTGCGGACGCCGCTGCAGCGGAGGCCGACACCATCCGCATTCAAGACAAGATGGACAAGCTGAAGCC